TGGCTCAGGATCAACATGAAAAGGGTTAGGCACCTCCACTTGTTTACACAGTCTGAACCCCAATTTTATGTTTATTCCCTGAGAGACGTGTACAAACGGCGTGAGACATTGAGGACAAAGCAGATTTTATTGCATGTTAACATGCAGCAACAGACCCCAAAGGAACCTATGAACAGACTATCTGGGGTGACTGTGCTGGTATAAAATGAGTGCTACCTTCTTTTCTGTAAACGTAAAACTGGTCCTTGGCAAGTCTGTTGTCTCCTGGGAAACACGCGTTTCTCTGATACTGGAACACAGTGAACAAAAGTTTCACTGAATGTGGGATCTACTTCTCAGCTGCATGGCAACAGAGGATTGCTAACTCAGTCTGGTATTGAAAAGCACCTGGAATCAAATACACCAGTTTCCAAGCATGTCTTCCCCTACTTTGTTTCAATTTCTTTTCCCCTGAACCTACTTTCTATTTTTTTTAATTAAGTTTGGATTACAGAATCAGTGGGAGAGAGACCTCATCTTCCTTCTTATCTGCAAACTGCCTGGCATACTAATGCACTATAAGTAATAAGGGTGAGTGGTAATTTTACAGAGATTTTTGCAGCTTCTCCAGCCCTGCTTCTGGGAAGAGGTTGGCCCATACGAGTAGTGCTTGATTCTTTGCATGTTATTCTTCTGGGCAAATAAAAAACAAAAAGCAGTTATTATTATTATTTTTTTTAATATTGCATTATACCCTCTGGTCCTCTAAAGGGCATCCCAAGACAGTGACATTTTGACATGAGTTACTCTAGGAGGTCCTTGTCTGCAGCTCTTACCCTCAGCTTTCTGGCACACTCAGGTGAGACCAGAATTCAGTGTCCTGTTCTGAGGCTAGGAAACTACTGGGCGCTTGTACATGTGACGGGGTTTTAGTCACTCTAATAACACAGGCATGGACCCATTCATCAGCATCAGCAGGGAACTTGTCATGTTTCTCAAGATGACATATTGATAGAGCTTTTTTCAGGGAAAGCTATGGTAGCATGGGGATGGGAGGGCTGTCAGGGAAAGCCAAGACACTACTGATTTTTGCTAACTAGCTAGTTTATTTAATGGTTCTCACAAAAGTACCTGAATGCCTGATTCAGCAGGGGGTGCACTCTTGGATTACAATCTTAAAACAGCTCATGGTGAATCTTCAGAATGCCACCATTAGGCTTCAGAGTTAAAAGCCTGTTCTGATAAAAAGGAGAAAAGCTATTTCAGTTTAAGGACAGTAGTTGTGGAAAGTCAAATGGACACAAACTGGACAAGAATAAATTGAGTCTGGAAGTTAAAGGAAGGTTTTCAGTCATCAGAAGAACAAAGCTTTGGAATGGTCTTTTGAATGCAATAGTGGGGGGCAAAGGACCTGAATTGCTTCAGGATGGAGCTGGATAATTTTATGGAAGGGCTAGTGCAATAGGATAGGGATGCTCTTGGGATAGGAATCAGAGCACGTAATATGAGAGTTCATGTGTTTGGTATCCCCATGAACGAGATGGCAGGAAATGTGATCAGTGTGTGCTTGCTGGGGTTGCTTGTGTGTGGGGGAAGTGTGGTGATGTAGGGTTTCCTGACTTTGCTGATAGCACAGGCAAGATTTAAGGCAAAAGTTAAACTAGAGAAAGTGATCCTCAGCAGAGAAGTAGCTTCTTTGCATGAGGGGGAAGTGTGCAGAGGAGTGGTTTCTGCATTGAGGTTGTAGGCTGGCCATGTCCTAGGGTTCCTGAGGTGGGAGCATACTTTTGAGGAGGTGCCTTAGCTTGGATTAGTCTACGTGTGCACGTGTGTGTGTGTTTCTTTTTTGTGCTTATTCCTATGAAACTTATGTTTTAAATAGGTTTAATAATATTTGTTGCATTTCATTACATCCTATTCTCATATTTTGCAATTGCTGCTGGTTGTCTGAAGGGGCCAGGAAGATTTCCTTCCCTTTCCCCACCCCTGCAAGGATTTTTTTTATTTCTTGGGCAGGGAAGGAGGAGTTGCCCACCTCTGAAGCTCTGGGTATTGGTGCAGGGATGCACAGGCACTTCCTAATGGTACAGAGAAGCCTCACAGGTACTTGCTTTGTAGGTTTTGCTCATGTGCACAGGATTAAAGCACTGGAACAGGTTACTCAGAGAGGTGGTGGACTCTCCATCCTTGGAGGTTTTTAAGACCTGGCTAGACAAAACCTTGGCTGGGATGATCTAGTTGGGGATGGTCCTGCTTTGAGCAGGGGAGTAGGACTAAATGACCTCCTGAAGTCCCTTCTAACCCTCATTTTCTACCATTTTGTGATTAAATGGATCTCCAGATCTGACAACAGGAAAGAAAAATTTCCCCAGGTCAGATTAGTGGAGACAATTCTTTTACCTTCCTCAGCAGCATGGCACATGACCCACTTCCTAGGTAAAATATGACCAGGTGTTCTTAACACATTCCCTGCCACTGAAGGGCCACAAGGCCTTGGTCCTGCCCTTGTCTTTTCTCTCTTCCTGAGGCACACAGTTGTGTCAGTTTGCTTGTTATTGGGGGTTTTGTGGCCGTGGTCTGCAAGAGGGGCTGGAGGAGATGTTTTTGTGGACTATTTGGGGCAAAAGTTTATTACATCAATCCCTGCTAACACAGGGAACTGGACATGATGGCATGAGAAGTCCCTTACTGCCCTGTGTTCTTAGCTAGACTACATGAGCTGTACACAACTGAGAGTCAGGTTCAGATTATCTCAACAACACAAGTTTCATGCTATTTGATGTTTATTGTAAAGTCCCAGCTCCTGGAGTCATGTGATCACATGAATCGCTCATCTTTTTAAAGCAAATTTCTAGTCCTGAAAAAGAAAAGCTTGATAGCATGTTAATCTTACAGACTTAAACACCAGAAGGCCAAAAAGAAAACAGCCCCATTACTTTGTGTTTCTTTCTTTTTTTACCTCATGATAATAAGGCCCATCCCATGATTTGTGGGATATTATTTTTGAACAGATGGGAAGGACTTTTGGAGTGTGCTGCAGCATAGAGCAGACTACTCTCCTGAACCGTAAAAAATGATGGATGTCAGGAGCAGCAACATTGTTCATAGAACTCAAAACAGGCAAACAGAAAACTGCTGATGGCAACCATTCCGTTTAGGGATGGTTGGTCCACACTTAAAAATGTTATCAGCATAATTATGTCAGTTCAGGCTGTGATCTTTTGCTGACATAATTATACTGCTAAAGCCCTGGTATAGTTATAGTTACACTGACATAAGCAGGAAAATTGCAGCTTTTACTTCCTCAGTATAATAAAAGTGCAAAACCTTAAATTCCAAGAAAACTCACCGAAACTATATATAGCTCCCGTTAATTATTTTTATCACAGGCCTTTTAGGGTGCCTGTAATTCACATCAAGAATATTTTCCTAACAGCAGTGATTTATCCTCACCTTCCCTACAGCAATTAAACCACCAACCATAAAGCACCAGAACCATGGTCCTGGCCACAAGATTAAACTGCCAGAGGGATTCCAAAACTTCTGTTAGATCAAAAACTGAACAGAGGAGGAGCTTTGCATCATACCAGGTCGGAACAAATGTATTTTCTGGAGAGAATGTGTCCCTCGGCTCAGCATTAAGAACACCCTGCCCAGCTCTTACAAGTTCAAGCCTTGGGACCGACACATTAAATATTCTTAGAAGACATATTGTCCACAGGAACCAGGTGCTTGACTATGGGGCTTTAGAAACACAGTAGTTAACACCATTAAGTCAACTAGCAGCCAGTACAAGAGTGCAGGTGTGCTCTAACAAATCTATTCTATTCAGATGTGGAGCAATAGCATTCTGCGCTAGATGTGGTGTGACATCCCCCATTTATCTCCATGGGCATGTTAACTCCAGTCACCTGATGAAATCTGAATGTAAAATGTAATTATTTCACTGCTGATCATATTAATGGAATGATTCAGTCTATCCTTTAATGGTTATAACAAAAGGTTGCTGGTCCACAACCATGGCTCATAGCTGCTACCATAATAATAAATAATAGTATGCAGTGTGATTGGATTTGATGGGAATAAGGCTGTAGATTTTTAAGATGCAAATACTTGACACATCTATTAATTCTTCTGGTTTTAAGAATAGGAATCTCAAAGGCAGAAGACATGAGATTATTTTAGAAAAATTAAAAGGTCTCGAGGCTCATTTTTAACGCTAAAGACTAGGTGAAATAAAATTAGAATATCAGTTTTATTTAAAAATATGTAAACATTACATTCTTTACTATAAAATATATATGGGTTACGGTGATTTTGCTGAACTTTCAAAGTCTATCAAAGGAAAAATATTTGCTTATTGTGGCAAATTTTACAGCAATTTCTAGTAACCTAATTTCTTGATGAAAGTTTCTTCCCCGTTACATGTGGAGGGGCCTTTAGTTTTTAATAATCCAGGAGAAATTAGTCTGACCATCCCTTGTGAATCCCCAGTTTCTATACAAGGCCCGCTTTGGGTCAAATAAGTTTCTCAGACACCGGTAGTTTAAAGCCATGGAATGGCTCCTGGAATACTCTGCCCATTGTACTAGATGGATACAGTGTCTCACCTTATCAGCAGGGATCCTGATATATATTAGTGGCGTTTCATTTTAATCACAGAAAACATGTGGATTTTGGGTTACTTTTTGTGTCCAAAATTGGGGATTTTTTTTTTTAATCAGAGAAAGCCAGGATCCCTTTATATCCATGCGGCATAATGACCATAGCATTGTCTTTTCAGCAACATCATCCTTGCTATCAATGATTTACTAGCCACATTTCTAGAAGTGTGGGAGGCAGCCAGCTGTTTCATGAGCTTCACTATGAGGTAAACAGAGCTATGCAATACAGGGCCCTGCCTGGTATGGAATCAGTACTGAGCACACTCATCCCCTCACATAGTTGAGCTCCTTTTTATCAGAGGATAATGCAAGCCCTGAAATAATCTGCAGAAGATTGGAGGGTGAATGCAGTTTCTAGCTGAGAGATTATTGAATGTTTAAAAGTTTTGGCAGCATCAGACCAACATCTGGTCTTCCAAGTACCCTAAAAAGCCACAACCTAATTCCATAGTGACACAGCACCCCCCCAATGCCATTATGTCTGGATTGCTGGACACGAGATACGCACCAGGACCACTGGCTGCATGTTGCTGCAAACAGAGAGCTTTAATCCAGGCCTGTCAATACAAGACACCCTTATTATTCAGCACGGTTATTTAAGCAACTGTAGAGTGTGTGTCCAATTCCTGTGGTTCAGCATTTCTCAACCTGTGGGTCGCAACCGAAAAGTGGGTCACAAGAATATATGAAAGGGTCATAGGGCAGTGGGGATGGGGGGCAGTGTATCGGGAGTGAGGGGCACTGGGTTGGGAGTAGCCATTGATGCTTATAAATGGGTCCTGGTATAAAAAAAGATTGAGGACCACTGCTGCAGTTGAAGCCCAATTCTGCAAGCCTTGTATTAATTTCATAGCTCTCTGTTGGGTATGGTGCTGGAGTTAATACTTTGCAGTATGAATGAGACCTGTTAGAACATATTGCACATTCAATACCTTTCATTAAGACCTTATCCACACTGGGATATCAGCCACTGACGTAAATCATGTCTGCACAAGTACAAGCCACACAGGTAGCTACAGTCCCATTAGAGGTAAGGCCAGGGGGTATCTCAGGACCTGAAATGACTGAGACACTTAAGAGTCCAGTTTTCAGAGAAAGAAGGCATTGGAATTTAAACCCTATATGCACCAGGAGTGCTAGACCTATACTAGGATATCAGATATTGGCAAAACACTCCCAAGGGGGACTTCATAGCCCTATATTAAAATCACAACACACACTCTCCCCTCCCCCAAGCAATACAAGTTACATGGGCAAAATGGCAGTTTTGCTAGTATAACTGCAGCTACACTGGGGGATCCTGCTAGCACTACTAAGTCAGCCACACTTCTTTGCACTCCTAACATGACTATGCCAGCAGAAATCTGTGGAGAAGCCCCAGGCCTCCTTTCCTGCCTCCTGGTTCTGGGTGAAACAAATTATAAAGGACAACAGCGAAATATTACTAGTATAACTAGATTACACTCAGGGCAATTGCTGACACAACTGTGTTAGCTGGAGATCAGACCAGCCAACACATAGACAAAGTTAGTAACCCCGAGAATCCCAAATCACTCCAGTGATTTTTTTTTTTAATCCTAAACCTCATTTTCAGGATTGAGCTAAGCAGTTCCCACAACTGAGACAGAGCTGTCAGTGGGAACTGTCTGCTGTTTGTTTAGGAGATAGCTCTTTTGCTGTGGAAATGGTGCGGCTGCTGTCTGGCAGCAATGTTTTTGTAACTTGCTTCAGTTTGAGCATTAGGGGATCAGGGAAAAGGACCGTTCATGGATCAAAAACTACTTAAAAGACAGGAAGCAAATGGTTTGGCTACATTTTTCACAAAGGGAGAAGGTAAATGGGGGAGTCCCTTGGAGATCTGTGCTGGGACCTTTGCTGCTCAGCATGTTTGTAAATGATCTGGAAAAGGAGGGGAAGAGGTAATGTTTGAAGATGATACAAAATAATTCTGCATATTCAAATCCAAAGCTGGTTGTGTTGCCCTACAGGGAAACTGAGTGACTGGGCAATGAAGTGGCAGAAGAAATTCAGTATCAATGGGTGCAAAGAAATGTACACTGGAAACAATAACCCAGATTGTACATACGCAGTGATGGGCTCTGAATTACGAGTTTAACCATTCAAGCAAAGAATCTTGTAGTCACTGAGGAGACTTCTCTAAAAACATCAGCTCCATGTGCAGCGGTGGTCACAAGGGCAAATAAAATATCAGGATACTTTAGGAAAGGAATTGTGGACAAAACACCAGTATTCCATCAGATAAACCCCCGCCTTGACTACGGGGTACTATTTTGATTCTCTCACTTCAAAAAAGATATGCTAGAACTAGAAAATACATAGACATCTTCAGTGCAATTCCTGAGGGGACTCATTACTGGTAACAGAGCATGAGTCAGAAACAGCCCAACAAGATGCAGCTTCCAGGAAGAGTCTGCCAGGGTGATGATGACCCTTCCCTGTCTCAAGTCATCTTTTTACTTATAACTGATCATATTGACTCTAATTCATAGAGAAGCTGATATCATACGGCCACTTTAGTGAAGGGAGTTTAAAAGAAAAGTTGCATCTTATGGGTTGCATCTATACGAGATGCTGACTGCACAGCAGCTCGTTACTACTGTGCAATAGCGTTGTGTGGCAGGAAGCGTCATGTGAATCTACTGAGTAGTAGTAATGAGCTACTGCACAGTTGGTGTCACCTAAGAGCCATTTGGAGATGCTGCTACACCGTAAATCCAGTTACTGTGCAGTCATTTAGTACTTGTGTATCCAAGTACTAAATGACTGCACAGTCAGGGTTTCGTGTAGACACAACAATGTAGAACTACAGGCAGTCCTCGACTTACAATGTTTTGAGTAACATTTTGCACTTACAATGTTTATAAATTAACACCCTGCTTCAACTTTATGATGTCAGTTTTGACTTTACAACGCTTGATCTGATGCGACGCTATGCCAAGGGAACAAGTTTGTTGCGTCGCTCATCTCCCTGGAGAACATCTGTCCAAACGTCTTTGGACACTTTCTTTAAGAAAGCAGACAAGACTCCAGAAAACCGTGCAGCCAAGACTCCTGAGGAGACTCCAGCCAAGAGCTTTTCAAAAAGTCCAGCAAAGTCATCTCAAAGAAGTCCTTCCAAATCAATGTGATTGCTATTTACAATGTAAATACACGAATGTAGCTATATTACTTATGTATATTGATGAGTACAAAATTCTGGGGTATTTTTGGTGAAAATAGGATATCGGGCCTTGGATTAAGAACCAATCCCCCATTTATAACATTGTTTCTTATGAGAAAATTGGTTCTGAGTTCCAACGTTTTGACTTAAGACGCGGTTTTTAGGAACCAATTGTGTTATAAGTCCGAGGACTGCCTGTACTACCATTTTACATGTTGCCCTAGCAGCTAGCTGCCCCTTTACAGCACTAACATGGAGAAGGGTAAACTCTTGGGTAAAGAACTGGTAATAAAAAATAAAAAAAATCAACACCTAACTATTAGCTTCCAGCAGCCTTCATTTTCTCTCCTAAACGCACAAGACAGCCACACCAGTGAGCAGCTGCAGAGAAGCAGTTGTTGCAGTTCCATAGGCACAAATTATCCAATATCAAACTCTGTCCACCCTGCTTTTCCTGTTATTCTAGGAAACAGTGGTTTAAATGTTAAAAAGAAATTAAATGATTATGTTGGTCAGGTGGAAGGGTCTGACTTTTTGTAAATGATTTAAAGTAGTGTAAAAGTGATGTTGGTGCCAGGGTGGGGTCCAGAAATGACATGAGAGGCATGGCTTTCTTAGGATAAGATCTTTTATTGGACTAGCTGTGTGGTTGAAATAAAGTTAGACAAGCTTTCAAATACAAGACATTCTTTGTCAGGTCTTGCATTTGAAAGCCTGTCTAACTCTATCCCAGCCATACAGCTATTCCAATAAAAGATCTCACCCCAAGAAATCCTTGTCTCTTGTATTTAAAAGCACTGAGCAGGACACCTGACTTCCTCTTTGGCTTTGCCACAGGCTGTGTGACCTGGGGCACATCAGTTTCATCTCTTTGTGTTTCAGTATCCTCCAAGGGAACATCCCTACCTCATAGTACTGTGTTATATAGGTGCTTGTACACTGTCCCCCCACAAGGCTACAGATAGATAAGCACTACAGGTACAAGTAAAATACATGTCTGAAGGCAAGAAATCCTCATAGAACGCAATCACAGTTGGACTGATATGGCTGTGAGCACAACCTGACCAGAGGCTCCTTTGGGGGAGCAGCCATGCCTTAGCAGACTTATCTTATCACCACCATCCCATTAGAAGAGACAACTTGACTTGCTCCTCACCTTGCTCAATTGTCCCATCACCTCTGGTTGTTTTGCTAAGTATTTGCCAGACGACCATTTCCTCTCAAGCTCTGTAAGCACACTACCACTTCCAGCTGTGGCAAAGAACTTCACACGCTGCTTAGAAGCAGGCAGCACAGTTTTCCACTTACACTAAAGAGACCCAATCTACACTACAGAAAACGCACATCAGCCTGGGCATGAGGTCAGTGTCTCTCAACACAGTTCTGTCTCACAGGGTGTTGGAGGATTTAGCACAATTCAAGGATGTGGCTGAATCCATTCCTCACTTCAAGGTGAGACAGCATTTTATCTGAGCTAGGCTGGTGCTATGAAAGCACGTTGATTGGTACCTTAGGGATACTTCAGGCAGACAGAAGCGGTTGATGGGATAATGTAGGTGGGAGCTCTTTTTTTTCCCTAACTGCCACAGCATGCTTGTTTGAATCTTGTTTGGAGCTGTGGGTGCAGACTGGAGATGGTGTATGAAAAGTTTATAGCAAACTGGGTTAAACATCTCTGCCCCAAAGGTAAATTAGCTTCAAGGAAAGTCAGCTGCAACTAATCTGGTTGAGTCTGCTGTGCTCCTTGTCTAACTGCAGAAACCAGCCTCTGTCACTCTTCAGCTCCAGGACCCTCTTGCAAAGGACTTGATTTTTTCTGAACACCATTCCATAACACACAGTGCAGAGAGCGGGAGCGTGTGTGCTTGGATGGGGCTGTGCCTGCATCTCCAGTTACAAATGAAACTTGTAGGCTTATCAGTATGAGTTTGGGGAGTTCCAGATCTTACCCATTGCTAATGAGCTGCATAACAGGCACGGCTGAACCATCATTTGGGGCCCAGCTGTTTTTTAAGCCATTCCCAGTGGGCAAATTCAAAGCATTTCACAGGTTTTCGCACTACTTTGCTTAGAAATACTTCCCTGCCTTCTCCAAAGCAGCAGTTTTACAAACATTTGTCGATTTGTTGGACATTTTAGTATGAACTAATGCAGAGGTGTTCAACATTCAGCTAGGTCTGGCCTGCATAGCTGTGTCATTCAGTCCATGGATCTTCTTACAGGTCCAGAAATGTGGTGGTGGGGAGTGGAGGCATTGTTAACTGCTGCAGCTTGGATGCTGCCAAACCTCCCCTGCTGCCAAATTTCAGGCCCCGTGAGGAGCCACGCAGACTGGATTGCATGGCCCCACAAGCTGGATGTGGTGCAGGAGGCTGGACCAGTACACTAGATTGCACCCGCACAGTGATCCAGCGCACCAGTCCCTACACTGGATCAAGCCCGGACACCACTCCTGTGCACCAGAGCTGGCTTGCAGACCAGCCCCATGCCACTCATCTGGCTTACGGGGTCTGGTAGGTTGAGCTCCACTGAACTAATGAGATTCCATGGGCCAGCAGAGGCAGCTCTGGCAATGTTGGGTCACAAGACAATGGTTTTTGGTATCAAGAGCAAAGGACTAGGACACACAGATTCTAGTCCTGACTGCCATTAACCTTGTCTTTCTGTACAAATTTGCACTGGCTGCATAAATCCCTCTATGCCTCCCTTTCCCTATGTGTATAAAGGAGATGCTACTTGGAAATTACTGCGAGATCAACAACTGACCTGTGCTCTGTAAGTGAAAGAACTATAAATCCAAACAATCCATCGCCCTGGGGACTAATACCAATTGCATCCACACGTTTATTATTCTCACTTGATAAAGAAAATAAACTTTAGTACAGCATGTAATACCTAAGAACTGGAATTTCCCTGGGTAGAAATGCAGCTCCAGCTCAGACCTTGTTTCTGTGAATGTCACCATTGCATGTACAGCCAGCAGAATGCCAGAATCAAGGAACTTGTATATTTTTTCACCAGGTTCGATTAAGTAATTCCCCTGCTCCTAAGGGAACCCCAGGGGTAGCCATTACTAGCTAGTGTGGACAAGGCTAGTTGTGTTTCTAAATATTACAAGCAAAATGCTTAACATGTTAAAAAACTCTTTGGATTTTCTCAGTATAGACAAGACCCGAGTTTACGTTTATAGACAAATTGGAGAGTTGTAGACAAACTGAAGAGTCCAGTGGAAGGGAACAAAATTGGAGGGGGCTGGGGCACATGACTTCTGAAGGAAGGCTGAGGGAACAGGGCTTATTTAGTGTGGAGAAGAGAAGATGGAGAGGAGATTGCAGCCTTCAACTACCTGAAGGGTGTTTGCAAAGAGGACAGAGCTAGACTGTTCTCAGTAGTGGCAGATCACAGAACAAGGAGCAATGGCCTCAAGCTGCAACAAGGGAAGTTAAGTTAGATATTAGGAAAAACTTTCTCACTAGGAGGGTAGTAAAGCCCTGGAAGAGGTTACCCAGAGAGGTGGTGGAATCTTTATCCTTGGGGGTTTTTAAGGCCTGGGTATACAAAGCCTTCACTGGGATGATATAGTTGGGGATGGTCCTGCTTTGAGCAGGGGGTTGAACTAGACAGGGCCATCCTGGGGGTGGGGAGCATATCAGGGCGACTGCCATGGGCAACTGGTGCCTCCTGAGTTGGGGGGGCACATGCCCCCCCAGCAGCCAGTCAGCAACTGGTGGGGTCCCCCTGCGGCCAACTGCGCTGACCCAGAAGCACGAGCAGTGCTCCTGGAACTCTGAGCAGCGTTTCTTCTGGTGTCCCCATTCCCCAGCCAATGCTCCCCCTGCCCATCGCCTAACTGGGGAGTGCTGGATTTCAGGGGGTGCACCAGTGCTCTCAGGGGTTGCATGCGCACCCCCATTCACCCCCTACATGTCACCACTGGTGACCGCCCTGGGCCCTGTGCTTTGGGGGGCCCCATGGAGCTGGGTGGAACGGCTGCAGAGACTCCATGCTGCCGCTGGCTTTATGTCTGGCCACTTGGCACCACCCCCCACCACCAAATCCGCCACCAAATCTGGCACATCTGGCCCCTTGGCACTCGCCCCCCCCCGTTTTTCTGCGCATTTCCGCCACCGGCTTCCTTGTCTGGGGGCAGGGCCCTGCACAGGCTGATTTGCCTCAGACCCCACACCCTGCTCGGGTCGTCTCTGCGACTAGATGACCTCCTGAGGTCCCTTCCAGCTCTAATTTTCTATTACAGGCAGTCCTCAACTTAAGACATTTTGAGTTACAATGAACGGCACTTATGACATTTATAAATTGACACCGTTTCGACTTTCTGACGCCAGTTTTGACTTTACGACACTTCATCCAATGCTACACCAGCAAACAAGTCTGCTGCGTCACCCATCTCCCTGGAGAACATCTGTCCAAACTTCCTTGGATACTTTCTTTAAGAAAGCAGACAAGACTCCTGAGAAGACTCTAGCCAAGAGCCCTTCAAAAAGACCAACCAAGAGCCTTTCAAAAAGTCCAGCAAAGTCACCTCAAAGAAGTCCTTTCAAATCAATATGATGGCTATTTACAATATGCATACATTAATGTAGCTATATTACTCATCTATAATTGGTTGAGTACAAAATTCTGGGTTCCTTTTGGTGAAAATAGGGTATGGGGCCTTGGTTCAGGAACGTTTCGACTTAAGATGCAGGTTTCAGGAACGCCTATATTCGAATTTATAGCCAAGCTAAAAGCTACGCTTGTATCAGACTTCATAGGAATTAATAGTGCCATGTGAGGAGGTCATATATAAAAATCAGAGGCCTTATGCCAATCTAGGTAAGGTTACCTTTGATTAACAGGATAGGACTTGAACTCCTACCATTCTAAGAGCAGCTGCTGTCCTGAATGCCTTGGATTAAGTAAGAAGACAATTGCTATAACATTTTCAACTGGTTATATTCATATGAAGTAGAACAGACTGGCCATGCAGCAAAGAGTGCGGGGGGCAGCAGCTGTCATACTTTCAGAGAGCATGACTGATCGTTTTATAGCCTGACTGCAGTTTGACCAAGGGAGAACTTAATTCTAAAATAAATTCTAGCCAGGAACTCCTGGCCTTTAATTTATGCATTGCTGGCAGAAAGAAGGCCCCTAGGTACCCAGCGTGGTGCCATGAAGCTAGGAACAGCATATGTATTTGTTCTTTCTCCCTTTCACTGAGTGCTTGCATCCCTTATGACAGGCACTGCTGAAAGACTTATTCACAGTGGCTGCCTCAGGGAACTGGTGACAGCCACAGAGCAGAGCCTTTCATCTTTTGGGCCAGATCTGCACTAGGAAGTTTTACCAGCATAGATAGCCCTGTCAGCTGGGAGTGTGAAAACATCACACCTTATAACTGACATAGCTAGGCCAACTAAAACCCTGGAAGGGGGTGCTGCTATACCAACAGAGTGTGGCTTCGTTGGTTTAACATGAATCATGTGGGAAGGTGCTTTAGCTAGGTTGGCACAAAAGGCCCTCCTGCTGGCATGTACCGCTAAGGGGCTCTGCTGACATCGCTATAGCAAAAGAGGCTCTGTTTCTTCCACAAGCCCTAGGTGCCTGGGTCAAAGTCAGCCACAGTCAGCAGAGACCAAGAGTTTTCATGTCTGGTGGCTTAATCAGTTGGCAGTGTTGCTGGTTCCTATTGAGTGACTGCCCAGATCACAATTGGGTGCAAACACTGGAGGGTTCTTTGCATTTGCACAGCACTGGTGCAGCAGTCTCTCCATGCCGGGTAGGCAAAAATAGCTGTGTAGTAGGCACGAGATACATGGATAATTCTCTACCCAGGTGCAAGACATCCTTTCTAATAGTTCTATCCCCCTAACCCACATGATATTTGGGGAGAGAGAGGGAATGAGACATACTGGGAAAGTAGTTAGACCCAGGGAAGGCCTTTCCCCCTATAAAGCTGCACAACACTCAGTGGAGTCTGAAGCTGAGCTAGAAGACCAAATGTGTAAAGCCTAAGGGGGCTACAAACACCTGGCAGGCTGGACACGTCACCAAAAGCAAGTGTGGCCCCAGTGCACACGCCACATGGCAATGACCTAGGAAAGCAAGAATATTGTCAATACTTAACACACTGCTGGAAGGTTCCTATATGACTGTCCTGGGCTTGCTGAGGTACTTCTCAAGTGTAACCATGTATCGGCTCCTCCCTTTTAAATTGCTAATCAAAGATGGTTCTAGTCCACTTCGACTGTTCTGGCAGACACCGCATCAGGGAAAATCCCCAAGTCCTATCGAGCCCCCACCATGCTCTATTTCATATTCCAGCAAGCTGAGTAGTTGGCAAGCGCCCCATTGACAAAGCCACAAGGGTCAGTTCTATCATATTCATGAGGTCAATGATTGTAACGCTTATATGCACAGGGGGCAGCAGTAGGGGAAAGCAACCTTGTTTGGGACTAGTTACATGATATGCTGAGAATGGCTCAGGGAGGAGTGTCCCCTGTGTACTAGATGCAGCACACAGGGCCAGTCTCCGGTCCTGATCCAGTGCATGGACTGGCCGCATGCCACTCATTCAGCCCACAGGACCTGGTGAGTTTGACACCACTGCACTAGAAAATCAGTGAAAGATAGTTCCTTATCGTTTGAACAGGAATTGCAACTAGCTGCAACCCCACAGAATCCTAGGAGATGTATGTTGACTCCTCATCTAGCAGAAGTATGCTGAAGCAGATTACATTGCCATTGGAGGCAGCTGTTTTGGCTTGCCGAGCAAAGGCTATCAGTATTAATAATGAAGCCTAGTTGTTGGGAACTTATGTTTAAATACCATTTTTGCATGAACAAACAGAATGCTAAATACCTTGCGTCTATTATTAAGATTAAGAATGAATGAGGCACAAGTGCAGACAGTTACAGATTCTTATAACCTGAGGGCTGAAACCATTGCCCTTTTAGGGTAGGTACTCACTGCCTCAGTACCTCACCAGGGAAAGTCACAGCCAAGCAACCACACCTACTCCACACATGCTGCCTTCCTCAATAGATGGAACATGGCTGTTTTAGCACAGTGCTGGGCATGTGACAATAAGTTATCCGTTGGGAGACCTTAGGCTGCTATGTTATATTTATTTAGGGAGGTAGTATGTGCAGAGCAGTCATGGTACGCTTCACAGTGGTGCTCCCTGGTGTGGTACAGAGGCACTATAAACATGCCTTTATGGCTTGAGGTTGCTCTCTACAAGTCAACACAAGCATCATCATTAATTTGAAAGGAAACTTAACCTGTCCTTTAAACAGAAAAGTTTTGCAACAAACCAGGAGCCAGCTGTCATTTTCAAATAGTCAGCAGGTTCTCAACTCATTTCCACCTGTTTCCCAATACTGTGATTATTTTTTATTGCCTTAAGGACAAATTACTGGTAGTTCCAAATTCAAATTGACTTGAGCTGAGCTCAATTGTTCAAGTCTGGGTGGCTCTACCACTGGGCAAGTTTCCTCCTTCCCAGACCCATCAGTCTGGGATTTTGGATATGCCCCAAATCCACGGCAGGCACCCTATGTGCAGGTCCCAAGCCCAAAGGAGTTTGATTTTGGATGCCTCCTACTCACGCTTGCTCCTAGCCAAAAGGCTGAAAGAACAAGCCAGGGAGAAAGCATAAATGCAGTCCCTCATTACTACAAAAATGTGCAGTTGAGTTTCCTGCTTTTGGGAAACTTATAGGGGTCAGCCAGCCCGGAGAGCAATGTACAGGCCTCTTCCAGGGAAAACCTGTTGACCATGGTATCTCCCCACCCCAGCACTATGATTTCTGTGGTTTCATGGCTGGAATGCAGAGGATGTGCCAATCAAAGAGCAGATGCCATTGTGAAATTTCTCAGCTTCCAACTTCCTTCTCTTGAGGAGCATCCTCACAATGAGGTGGGGAATGTGACTTCTGAAATGTTGTAGAATAAACACCTTTCAGCCTTGCACAAATCACAGATAGGACAAAACAGCTGGGTAACCCTGCGGGCAACTCATCTGCTGTTCAGTACCATGAATCCCAGCCACCATTCAGAAGCTGTATCCCTAACTCCCATGCTCAGTAGCTATTGAACATGGGAGTTAGAGGTACAGTCAGAACTTCCTAGATCTTAAATGCTGGAGGCTGCAAGTGAGAGAGGAATGGTAGCAAGCCCCCCGTCATATGCAGTTCACACTGCCTTTCAGCTTTTGCGGGACACAGGATATTGGGCACCAGGGACCTATGGTTTGACCCAGTAAATGACAGTTCTTACGTTCTCACTACTGAAGGCAGTGGCGCTGCATAGGGGGTACTCAGGGGTGCATGTGCACCCCCTGACAGGCCACATTCCCCGCTTAGGCGATGGGCAGGGGGAGCAGGCAGGAGCACCAGTGCCCCCGCTGCAAGCGCCAGCCAGGGAGTGGGAGCACCAGATGAAGCACTGCGACCATTTCTGTGAGTGCTGCAGCTGCTTCCTGGTCGGCATGATCGGCCGCAGGGGGATGCCCCCCCAGCCAGTGAGATTGGCTGCAGGGGGACCCCCCACCTGGTTGCTGATTGGTTGCTGGGGGGGCATGTGACCCCCCTTACTAAGGTGGCACCAGTTGCCCATGACTGAAGGGAAGTCTCTTGTTGATCTTGTCTGCACTAGCACTCCACCTACTGAAGTTTCATCTTGGAGGCAAGTCCATGGGTGGGAAGGATAGCTGAAGTGAAAGAAGATTTCATAGATTTCATAGACATCAGGGCTGGAAGGGACCTCGGAAGATCATCGAGTCCAGCCCCCCACCCAAAGGGCAGGAAGTCAGCTGGGGTCATAGGATCCCAGCAAGATAAGCATCCAGTTTCATCTTGAAGGTGTTCAATGAAGGCGCTTGAACCACCTCCGGTGGCAGGCTGTTCCAGACCTTGGGGGCTCGGACAGTAAAGAAGTTCTTCCTTATGTCCAGCCTGAAACGATCTTGAAGTAGTTTGTGACCATTCGACCTCGTCATCCCTTGGGGCGCTCTGGTGAACAAACGTTCCCCCAGATACTGGTGGTCACCCCTGATAAACTTATAGGTGGCCATCAGATCACCCCTGAGCCTGCGCTTTTCCAGGCTAAAGAGCCCCAGGGCTCTCAGCCTGTCATCGTAGGGTCTGCTTCCCTGACCTCTGATCATGCGCGTGGCTCTTCTCTGGACTCTCTCAAGCTTCTCCACATCCTTTTTGAATTGTGGAGCCCAAAACTGGACACAGTACTCCAGCTCCGGCCTCACTAAGGCCGAGTACAGGGGGAGAATGACGTCCCGGGATTTGCTTGAGAACCATCTATGGATGCAAGCCAGCGTTTTGGTCACTTTACTAGCCGCCGCATCGCATTGCAGGCTCATGTTCATCTTGTGGTCAAAGATGACCCCCAAGTCTCTTTCTTCCATAGTGCTAGCCAACATAGCACTGCCGACCCTATAAGGATGCTGCGGGTTTTTTTTCCCAAGGTGGAGAACCTTGCATTTATCAGCATTGAAC